TTGTTCTCCTGCAGAATAAAGCGAATAAAGCAAATTGCAATACGATTTTCACATTAACTATATCAGCCAACAAAACCCCCAACAGAAAAAGCAAAATCTAAAAAAAGAACGCACCACCAGAAAAGAGTTTAGTTACAGCCGAAAGCCAACCTTCCTTTCCAGAAGACATGGCAAAAAAACGCTTATAAGTTATACAGTCTGACAGATTACAAAACACCTGTAAAACAAAACATTATCGTAAACTCCCACACGAAAACGACCACTACAAAGGGCGAGAAATTCATACGAACGAAACTGTGCAGAAAGAGCAAGCATTAGTAATCTAGTAGGAATCTAGTAGGTTTAGTAATCCCCTGAAATGAAATAACCTTCACAGACGCACTGTAGACACATTGAACAGAAATATAACATCCCCAAGAAAGGATGAAAATGCAGCAGAAAACCGGAAATCGCCCGAAACTCGTCGGATTTTTGCAATCGTGAAAATTTCTCAAACGCCTACCGCTGCGCAACCGCTCGCCGGGTGATCCATTCCCAAATCGCTGGCGCGTCGCCAACTGCACATCTTGGTAGGCTCCGCCCATTCAGTTCGGGTCGCCAGCTTATCCTAGTAACTTCCGGATTTGCTAGTGCAATCTGCTTTTCGTATGGAATTCGTTAGCAGTTCATATGAAAACAAATTTTTGCTGTAATTGGTGCGGCTGGCAATCTTTTGGTTTGAGTTTCCTCGGTCATTGCTTTAACTGATGTTTTTACAATTTTACAGTACTTGGTTTATAAAGGAGAGTATTAATTCTTATGCATTTGGATTCTGCCGAGTTTTCCACGTTTCCCTGTTCTGCTCTATCCCCAAAGCAGTAGGGTCACTTTAACTAGTAACGATCATTTCTTTTCCTCTCAATATTTCTCCTTGCGGCATCTGTGATTTGTGATTTCTCTTTGTCAAGTTAATTTAAATTGTTGCTTACAGAGATTATCGATACTCTAGATCTATGTTGTTGTTCTTATTATACTAGATATGTAACATCTCGCTAGGACAGAAATGTTTACCCTTAAAGGTGAGATTTTCGTTAATTTCGCTTTGCGTATTTTTATATCTGAAAACAGAAACTTTCTGCTACAGAAACATTCTCATTTGTGGAAGATCTTTTCCTTATTTAGGGCTGATGAACATTTTGCTTCTATTGCTTGCCTTTCTTCAGTTTTCTATAGCTCATAAGCGTTTTCACGCTAGGAGGGCTAGCGGACTGAGTGAGTTTCAATCTTATTCGTTTGTCTGACAGTTTTGATTCGATTTCTCATAATTTTTCCGCGCCCTTCCTGCTTACGGCACGCTGTCTACACCATCTGGCTACTACAAAGCCCTCGTAAGATTGATGGGCTCACCATATGAACAGGTCCGAGGTCACACAAGAGCGCCTGCTGTCATTTCGGTTCCAATTCGACTGGAAATTTTGCGGGCGGTCGCGATGTTGATGGTATTGCATCTGGGTGTTCACAGCTGAGTAGTATGCTCCGATAATCGATTCGAGTTTTGGGAACGAGTTCACTTAGGGGGAGGGGACAGGCATTCGTAGTTTTCTGTCAACTTTCCGAGTAGTTCTGTCAAGTTGTGTAAGGTTTTTGTCACTCTAGGAAGTGGTATCTGTCTCATTTACACGCCATTTCTAGGCTTTTTTTATGTTGCACATGCTGAAAACTACTAAATGACGGCTTCTACCTGAGTCTATTAGGAGAGGAGTTTCTCTATGGGAGGAAACTGAAGGGGGGTCCGCATTCCGTTGGAGGTAGATC